GCGTAGTATATCATAGCATGTCATAATAGGACATACCAGGATACAGCATAACCGCGCGCGCAATGACATCATCGAGCATGCAGATCATAAGATAACACCACACACCATGAAACAAAAACTATATCGCGCAATAACAGAGCGCAACATAACATAACATATTGTTTCACACAATGACATCACATATCAAGCCACACCGCGTAGTCACAACATTTCATATCATCACATAGCATTCCATCACGATACAATCCACTTTGCCATAATCAAATAAACGTGACGTGCGCGCCGAGGTCAGTCAGGCTGACCACAGGAGCAAACAGGCGCAGCAACTATCGATCGGACGACGTATCTATCGTGACAGGCGTCACGGTGTCACGCTGGCCCATCGAGAACAGAACAAACATAAGAGATCACAACGTACTCGAACATTCTAGAGTCAGCATCCTATAACGAATAGAGAACGCCACAACCAACATAACATTGCAGACTTGTTGTGCTACTGCGACCCATATGTTAACGAATTAAATGTAACATGATTGGCTATAACATCATTTGGTGGACAATAGAAAAATGAGCATACCCTAAAAAACATCATAGAGAATACCATGACATACCCTAACCTGGCAGAACATACGGATCATGCCATAACGTGGTGCCACAGAGCAGAGCATATCACATCATATCAAATCATAAAATGACAGAGGTAACTAACAAACTATAACAGAAGATAGACGTATACTTGAGAAATCACGTCGTAACATAATAGGGCGTGCCGTCACATAATGAAACCGGATGTGCGCGCCGAAGTCAGCCTGGTCACAGGTACAAGCAGGCGCAGCAACGACCCTCGGACGACGTATCTAATGTGACAGGCGTCAGGGCGTCGCGCCCTCCCGTCGAAAACATAACATATCCTTTTGTAGCGTCGCTGAGTAAAACCTGATCAAGCATGACATGATTGAACACTGTTGAATATAGCAACAACGAATTGGGGGCGCCCTGTCAAACGCAGCATCCGCGCCAGGCCACAAGAAAAAACAGGTGCGACAACGACCGATTAGACGACATATCAAAAGGCTTCACGACGTCACGCCGCCCTGCCGAGACCAGAACAGACACACATATGCGCATAGAACAGAACAGAGCGGAACACAACATGATAGAGTAGAAGTCAGCAGAGACCGAGTACGGGCTGCCTAGCATACGCGACATGCACGGCAAGCCCAGGCACAAAAAACAAATAGTAGCAACAACGACCGATTAGAAACCATACAAACCGTGAAAGGCGTCACGACGTCACGCCGGCCCGTCCACAACAGCACAGAACATAATATAATGTCATATGCTACACTGGGCCAGAAAGAACCGAACAAACTATAGAACAATATTACGTGTACGCCAGCCACCACTTTATGGCATCTCATCAAGCGCGACATGTGCCCCGTCGTCGGAGGAGGACGGGGCGTCCCGAGTAGGAGAAGGAAGGAGAGGTCCGCTTCACCTTCTTCTCCTCCTCCTTCGTCGTCCACCTCCTCCTCGTGCGGCTGCTGCTGCTGCTCCTCCTCTTCCTCTTCCAACGGGCTGCATATTCTCTCCGAACAAGTGTTTGCATCTCGCAAGACTTGTTTTGGGTGCTGGTTTGTCGCTCCAGGGACTTGCTTCGGTTTCTCTCGTCAGGGGCCCTGGGGTTGTTAGGTTCCAGAAAAAAAACAGCTGCGGCCTGGCCCGGCCGCCGCGCTGGCCGAGACCGCCAGGCCCCGCTCACATCGTTCCAATAGGCGCGCGCACCGTTGGGAGCAAACGCCGAATGTTCCGGTGGGGATCGCCCGAAGCACAATGATTTGTGCGGCGGGTCTCTGCGAATGCGGGGGAGCACGGTTGCTCCACATGTGGCTGCCTGGAACGCTCCCCCCTCACGATGCCACCATGGCGTTCTCGTATATATCTTGGCGGGCCTCGTAGATCGTGCGTGCCCGCTCCTCGCCCCGTGCCTCGCATGCAGTGCCGTGCCGCGACGTACCATGCTACCGCATTGCTTTGCGGCTGTCGGATGGGGGGCACCACATCCGTGGGGCCCACTGTTCCATCACCTCCTGTGAGTCCCATGTGCCAGTTGCTGCGGTGCTGTGAATCACGCCCACACGCACTTTCGATTCAGAAGCATCAAGCTGCCGACAAATCCTCTGAGCGAGAGCCCGCCCCCCCCAACTGGCAAGACAGCGACGATGGTGACGCTGCATATGATTTGGATGCGGTGTTGGTGATGATACCTGATGGCAATGGTCATCAAACAATGTGTGGGGATGGTGATCGTGGTGACGGTAGTTTGCGACGGCACCTAGGTGGCAATTATAGTACTGAAGATACTGATGACGATGCTGGCGGTGTAATCTGCCCGCACGGGCTCCAGACGCGAAGGCCAGTCGAACTCGTCGACGATCCTCTCGCGCAGCAGAGGCTGGATGACGATGGTGCGCCCAGGGGCAGCATGGCACATCGTCTCCTCGTCATGGGTGCGGCTCTGCATTCCCCGTCCGCCCTCTTCCCCAGCCTCCTCCCCCAGACTTCTCCTCCTCCTCCTCTTCTCCCAGCCCTCCTCCCCGCGACTCGTAAACACGCGCCACCGAAGTGCACCGCATTTGGGCTGGCAAATTCGAGCCTCGAGGAGAATCCAATCGGACCCAAGAGGAGGGTGACAATAAACGAAGGAGGAGGGAAGAGAGAGGAGCGAGGAGGGGACGCCAGGGGTTGGCACGGCAGGCGAGGGAGTGGACGGTATGGGAGCGAGGATGGACCAGAATTGGCGCACACCCAGACGCGTCGAGTTCTCATGGGTCGAAGGGGCACCCTGGTGCTTCTCTCCTCCTCCCCCTTCTTCCCCGCTCCCCCACCTCCCTTCCCGCCGCCTTCTCCTCCTCCCCCTCCTTCTCTCCTCTCCTCCTCCTATTACATGTCCTTCTTCTTCTCCTCCTCCTCCTCCTCCTCCTCCTCCTCCTCCTCCTCCTCCTCCACACTTGAGCATTCGGAATCCTCCTCTCCCCTCTCCCCTGACACCGTCTGGAAGATCGCAGGTTCTGTCCGCGTATTGTTTCCACGGGCGCACGCCATTGGACGAAGGTGACCTTCCCTAGGATTTCGAGTCCGAGTCTTCTCGGTGCCTAACCCTGGTGCTCGTGCTGCAGCCTGGGCTTCCTGCTCGGATCGGCGCGTCGCTCCCGTCGCTCAGAATGGCGCTCTCGCCCCAGCGTGGACAACGTTTCTGGGCCCGACTCCTCTCGGACAACGTTTCTGGGCCCGACTCCTCTCTCTATCGTTGTCGCCGCCCTCCTTCTCCTTCCGCCGCCTGCCCCTGGTCCTCCTGCTCCCCCTGTCACGCCACTTCTTCTCCAGTCCCTGCTGCTGCGGCTCGTCCGCGCCCTCCTCCTCCCCACTCTCTGTGAATTGTCCTCCTGCTCACCCTCCTGCTCACCCGCCACCTTCCCCCGTCCTGTGTATGCCGCTCCCCATTGTCCGCTTGCGCGCGGCAGGATCGGGTCTCTCTCACGGAGTGCCAGGCACCCCCGTGACACGCGAGGGCGCACAGTGAACAAGATTGGCGCCGCGGAAACGGATGGTGGTAGGGGTCGCATGTCCGACATGGCGCGAGCCGAGCGTGTCTCTCTCCCTCTCTCCCTCGTCCCTCCCAGACCCCCGACGCCCCGTTTTTTGTTCGCAGCGTCGACCCCCGGAGGCATCGGCTCCTTCCCCGGGATCGGTTTCTCGTCCCGAGCCCTTGTTTGACGATCCCATACCCGGCAAGGGCCCCCCCCCCCCCAGGGGTCGAAAATACCCGTCGGTCGTAAGAAGCGGGTAGAAACATGAAACAGGAAAGCGCTGAAAGCAGATTGGGCTTCCGCACGCACCCTGAAGAGGGGGGAAGAGGTACAACCACTCGACTCTTGAAGTAGGAAGGCGCCTAAAGTAGATTGGGAGATGGAAATCCCCAAACACCCACTTTCAACGACCACTGGGCCAGCGAAAGTGGCCAAGAATGTGCCGAACGGGCAAGGATGCAAGGGTAACCTTGGGGAGTCGCTCGTCCTTACTATGCGCCCTAACTGTATTGTTTCCGCTAGGGCTGCCCGCCCGTCGTTGCCGTCGTCGCCGTCGTCGTCATTGTTGTCATCATTGTCGTCGTCGTCGATATCGTCGACATCATTTTCGTCGTGGTCCTCGTCGTCGTCGTCGTCGTCGACCGGCGTTGTCATCGTCGTCATTGTCGTTCATCGTTCGTCGTGCGTGGTTCGTCGTTCGTCGTTCCTCGTCGTCGTCATCGTCGTTCGTCGCTCGTCGTTCGTGGCTCGTGGTTCGTAGTTCGTGGTTCGTGGTTCGTCGTCATCGTCGTCGTAATCGTCGTCGTCGTCGTCGTCGTCAACGTCGTCGTCGTCGTCGTCGTCGTCGTCGTCGTCGTCGTCGTCCCCGAGAGGCCAAGGCCAGGGGCGCCCCAGGGCCGGCCGGCGCCCTCCGCCCGCGGCGCGGCCAGGGCGCGTTGCATCTTTTCGCGACTCGAGAGGGCCTGGTCTCCTCGCAGAGCTTCCTTGCCGCGCCCCTCGGAGAGCCGCTGCCACCGCGCGCCTCGGGGGCCTTACCAGGGCCCTTTCCTCCCGCCGCGCCCGGCCGCGGCCGCGAGGGCCCCCCTCCCCCTCCCGCTCACCCCAGCAGGGCCAGGAAAGCAGGACAACGAGGGAGGGAGGAGGGGGAGGAGGAGGAGGAGGAGGAGGAGGAGGAGGAGGAGGAGGAAGAGGAGGAGGAGGAGGAGGAGGAGGAGGAGGAGGAAGAGGAGGAGGAGGAGGAGGGAGGAGGAGGGGGGAGGAGGAGGAGAGGAGGAGGAGGAGAAGGATGAGGATGGATGAGGATGAGGATGAGGATGAGGATGAGGAGGGAGGAGGAGGAGGAGAGGGGGAGGAGGGAGAGGAGGAGGAGGAGGAGGAGGAGGAGGAGGAGGAGGAGGGAGGAGGAGGAGGAGGAGGAGGAGGGAGGAGGAGGAGGAGGAGGAGAGGAGGGGAGGAGGAGGAGGGGGGAGGAGAATGGAGGGAGGAGGAGGAGGATGGAGGAGGAGGAGGGGGAGGAGGAGGAGGAGGAGGAGGAGGAGGAGGAGAGGAGGAGGAGGAGGAGGAGGAGGAGGACGAGGAGGAGGAGGAGGAGGATGGAGGAGGAGGATGGAGGAGGAGCTGGAGGAGGAGGAGCGCCAGTACCTCATGCGTCCATCGGTCCCACTGCACTCAACGCCTTGGGGGCTTCAGCCAGGGATAAGGCCTAGCCATTCCAGGCGGAGGCGGAAGAAGCGAGTAATTGTCAGGCATTTTCGTGAGCGCCGCTTTGAGGGCCACGAGAGATTGAGACAGATCGAGGGGCCGACCGTTCTGCCGCCCAACCATTTCCTTGGCTATGTGGTAGATGTAAAAGCACAGGGAAGTAGCAAGCACAGCATTCTCTCGAGTTAAAGCGAGCGCTGGATAATGAACTGGCAGCCCAAGTCCGAGACGTATGAGCGGACATGAGGGCACCACCGCACGAGGACGACAGATCAGATGGACAAGGTGAGGGCATCGAAGGTAATGCTCAATACTGTCCGGATGGCGGTGGCAACCGAACACACAACACCAGCGCTCCGAGGTCAAGTGCATGCGGTCCGTTGTCGTCCACCCCCCAGCGACCGTTTTCAAGTAAGGCCAACGGATCGAAGCGGGAGCCCGGAGCAGGATTTCTCGAGCCAGGGCCCACCTCTCTCGCAGTCGTGTGGGGGTGACATCTCTTCATCTCCCCCCGAACTCCTTCGCCCTCTTGGAGCTCCTCTCCCTCGCCTCGTGGTCTCCCTCCCCCGCTCCTCACGCCATATGCTCGTTGGCGGTGGCGAATGCGTGGCGGTCCGCCTCCATGACTCTAGATAATGTTTGGGGTCCGTTGCACCGTCGGCTCCAGCTCGCTGCTGATCTCGTCTCGGGAGTTGTGGATCACCTCCCAGTTGTGGACATAATTCAGCGCGCTTGGTGCGCGCCGTGTTGGAAGATGAAGCAGTCGACTGTGCAGTACTACGAGCAGTTGAGATCCGCCGTGCCGTGTCGCCGTCCTCCCCTCTTGGCCTCGCAGCTCCGCCTCGCCCAGAGCCGTGCCCGTGCCGCCGTGCGTGAGGCCGCACTGGAGGGACGCCGGCCCAAGATGCAAGGTCATTTTATGCGTTCGGTTTCTGGCTCAGCCTATCCTGACAAATTAGAGCTCCTGATTGGGCGTCGCGTGCGGGCCTGGTTTAAGCTGGAGGAGGAGGAGGAGGAGGAGGAGGAGGAGGAGGAGGAGGAGGAGGACGACCACGAGGAGGGAGGAGGAAGAGGGAAAAGGAAGAGGAAGAGGAGGAGGAGGAGGAGAGGAGGAGGAGGAGGAGGAGGAAGGAGGAGGGAGAGGAGGCGGAGGAGGGGCAATAGGAAGAGAAGAGGAAACGGATGGGGGGGAAGGGAGAGAGGGAGGGAAGAAGGGAGGAGGGAGGAGCTGGAGGAGGAGGTGGAGGAGGAGCAGGAGGAGGAGGAGGAGGAGGAGAAATGGGGGGGGGAGGAGGAGGGAGGAGGGGAGGAGGAGGAGGAGGAGGAGGAGGAGGAGGAGGAGGAGGAGGAGGAGGAGGAGGAGGGCCAGTACGCTGCGGCGCGCCGGTTCGTCGACCACGACGGCTGGAGAACCTCGACAACCAAACGCGGTCATAGAGACCGGCCTCCGGACATGGAGAGGGGACGGGCTGCGAGGGCAGCCGACCACCAGATAATATGGAAAGTGCCGAGCGCTATCGAGGACCTGTGTCCTGCAAGAGCGGCGGACACGAACATAATAGTGACATGTTGTTTTGAGCGATACGTGTTCGGACATAGGGGCAGCACCCTGCGGGAACTTGAAACTACCCAGAAATGACAGCAATATGGAACAACATAAGATTGACATGCAGTTGCTGCTGCTTGCACCGAGGAAGAGGAGGAGAGGAGAGGGGAAGCGAACGGAGGAGGGGGCGAGGAGGGGCAAACATTGAGTGAACAGGTTGGGCACTGACGTCTCACTCTTGGCACGCGAAGATCGCAGCCTGTAGCGCACGATCCACCGCGGCAGCGGACGGGCGCTCTTCGCCCTCCTTGACCTTGTTATAAAAAGGTGAAAAACCAACACGACTCGTCGAATGGCGGAGCGACGAGCGAGCGGGCCAAACGGAGGGTGGAAAGTGCCAAGGGCCCACCGTTGGATCGGGTCGGCAGGGGTCGGGGTCGAGGGAGGAAAGAGGAGACCTGTGAGACAGGGGCACCTGAGGTAGTGGCGGAAGTCGTCAACGGCGTGCGCGGCGGGGCATCCGAATCGACAGGGCCGACCACTAAGGACGTGCATACGCCCCCGTGTCGTCCAGCCGCCGCGCGCCGTTTTGAGGAAAGCCCAGCGCCAGGACGGTCGCAGTTGAATCAGTTCCCCCCGAAGCTCGCCCCAAACCTCCCTCAT